CAGGAATTTGCACCAGTTTAATTAACTCAATTTTTAAACAGAACAACTTCAAGGACAAGACCATATTCACTGGTTTGTGCCCTTCAAGTTTTCGTTTTTAAATAATAGTGACTGTAGAATTTAAATACTGCAGCCAAGACATATCCCAAAGATAAGAGAAATCATATTATGCAACTGCTGTAATATGAAACCTTTCTGAGATGATGCAGTCATCATATTTAATTCTTAATATGGATATGCTCAAATGTCATTCTCCACAGCTCTTATGGAATCAATATAAAGTATTATAGTGTCTGCTAAAGGAAGTGCTAACGGTAGAAGTGGAAATCTCCCATAACCTAAAAAGAAGTGGAAGCTCAAAAACAAGAACAGGGTCCTAAGCAAGAGTATGAATTAAAAGTGCTAAAGGATAGGAAGAAAAGTAGCATTAAAAACAAAAGGCTATGAGATACCGCCCCCTCTCATCTGTTATTGGATTAAGCAACTGAGCCAGTTTATCAGCTGAGAGAGTCTGCATCAGTGCAGGATCCTCACTCCTGGATTTTGTTTCTCCAGTGTGAGAAAAGTAGGAAACTCTCATGCTCTGCTTTAAGGACTTGTTAGTGTGAGAGCTCTGTCCTGCTGGGCACGCTCCCAACTCCTGGGACTCGGACCCTTCTAGCACTGAGGTCAGTGAAGGACCTCTGGGCAGAAGATACCGTTTTAACTGACACAGCTCCAATCCCTATGTTTCTTGCAGGAGGGTAGTTGGTTATCTTGTATTTCATTTCCTGACGTCAGCGCAGTGGAAATATAGGAAGTAAATTCTCTAGAGCACTTTAAGTGCTTTGGCCTAAGACCTTTTTGGGCTTTGGCCATTTTAGGCCTGTTGGCACCCTCCGGGTTTCTATCAGGTTGATAGAAATGGATGGAGGATTTTTCAGATTTCCTTCCAGTCTCTGGATCTATTAATTTGTGTGTGCAGCGTTCAACTCTTCAAAGCATCTGCCATAACACTTACTGAAGCCCGAGTCAGTCATAGGTGCATCTGCTTCCAGGCATTAATCTGTAGCTAATTTCATGGAGTATGTTCTTTTTTGTCTCACTCTTTTCCCTCCATTCCACTAGAACGCTGCTGGTTTCACACATCAGTTCGTAGAACTGCCAGCATCAAACCCTTTCAACTCACCAGAGCGAACACATTAGCACAAAAGGGCTCTGGTGCTGACAGCTGAACAGACTTCTTTTTACTGGAGTGAAAAATTAATTGCAGTGTTGTTGGAGCTGTGTTGGTGATGCAATATCTTTTATTGGACCAACTTCTGTTGGTGAAAGAGACAAGATATTGCCTCACCCACCTTGTTTCTTCGAAAGCTTGAAGTGGACTTGAAGGATAACCTGGTCTGAGTTTTGTGGTTGATTTTTTTTTAAACAAGTTTAAAATTGGTCTATAGAACAGTAAGTTAAGGAACTGAACCTGGTACTCTTAGGAAATAACAAGAATTTGTCATGTCTCTTGCTTATTATTCCTATTTCCTGGAACAAGCAGAGACTCTCCTTGTGCACCCCAGGTGGAAATGTGTTATTTTTTCCCTACTTTTCCTTTGAGCACTCCTTATTTCTCTCTATTTTAAAGACTGAATTTTTATGTAAAGACTAGATTTTTACTTCTTAAAAATGGCAACAAAATAGTAAAAAAAGGTCCTTAAAATTTTACCTTGTGCACTTTAAATGTTTGGGCTGAGTCTCCATCACTTGTCACAATTCCACCACTTTCTTGGCCCCTGTGGACAAAATAGCATAAATACTGAAGGGTTCACGGAACACAACAACCAAACAAAATATTAACTTGTAAAGCATAAAACATAACAATTTGTATTAAAAATGTCTTAAGTGCTCTATTTTAACCGACTTATCAAAATATGGTTTTTGTATGTTAGTGTTGCACTTGATTATACATCCGGTTTTTCCCGGACGGGGGTTTGATTGCCGAAAAGCCGGACATGTCCGGGAAAAACCGGACGTATGGTAACCCTAGCCCACAGCATCTTTTTTCTTTTGTTTTAAATATAAAGAGATGCAGGCTGCAGCACCTCAGCTCCTCTACCTTCATCTAAAGTTTGCTTGGACAAGATTGAGTGTTACATACTAGGACCATAATTAAGGCTCAGTGTCGGTCATGGAGGTCACTGCAATCACGAATTCCGTGACTTTCCACAACCTCCGTGACCTCTGCAGCAGCCACTGTGGCTGACCCCAGGGCCACCCAAGCGGCTGGCCCCGGTGCCAGCTACTCAGGCAGCCCAAGGGCCAGTCACACCAGCCGCTGCTGGAGTGGCCCTGCAGCCAGCTGCACCGGCCACTGCCGGAGCTGCCCCAGGGCTAGCTGCACTGGCTGCTGCTAAGGTGGCCGGTGCAGGCAGCTGGTCCCGGGGGAGGGGCTCCCAGAGCAGCAGCCCCCCAGCTAAGATTTAGTTGAGGGTATTCACAGTACAAGTCATGGACAGGTCACAGGCTGTGAATTTTTGTTTATTGCCTGTGACCTGTCCATGACTTTTATTAAAAATACCTATGACTAAATTGTAGCCTTAACCATAATCGATGCATATGTGGTCTTTGGGCTACTGGTAAATTCCCAATGAATCCTTTAATTGCTCAAAGATCGAATACCCCAAAATAAAAATGTCTGTAGAATGCACCTACAAACTGTAGCCAAGAAAAACAAACAAACTGTAACGTATATACTAAATGAAGTAGCTTAATGCAGATGAAAGGGAAAATCTGTTAGATTACTTAAATATAAAACTGCTACATGTCTTGTATAATAGGATGGGAGTCTGCTCGAACATTAAACTACTACAACTCAATTGGCATCATTGGAATCATTCTCGAGGTTATACTACTGTAACAGCTTGTCTACTTGAAAAGTTAATTCTGATGAAGGCAGGGCATGCATTTAAAGTGCAGTAACTATTCATGAATAATTCCATATATAGAAAAGACCTTATAAAAAACAGGAGAATCAGGTGCAAATGTTCAGTGTGCTTGATTCCAACAATAACTGTAATTTTCTACCATTGATTATGTCCAAGTCTCAAAGTTATAAGTCATTAATACCACCTGTGTGTAAAGTGAAGTGCTAAAGGGCATTCAACTTTAAAAATAAATAAACAAACAAACTAGGGCTATCAATTAATTGCAGTTAATGCATGCAATTAATGCAAAACAAATTAATTAGATTAAAAAACAAACAGTCATGAATAATTGCAGTTTTAATCGCACTGTTAAACAATAACAGAATGCCAATTTAAATTTCTTATAAGTATTTTTGGATTTTTTATACATTTTCAAATATATTGATTTCAATTAAAACACAGAATACAAAGTGTACAGTGCTCACTTTATATTATTTTTGGTTACAAATATCTGAACTGTAATAAAGATAAAAGAAACAGCATTTTTCAATTCACCTCATATAAGTCCACTCAGTCCTATTTCTTGTTCCGCCAAATCGGTAAGAAAACAAGTTCATGCTTTGACTTGTAGACTCTAAAGTTTCACATTGTTTGGTTTTTAAGTATAGTTATGTTAAAAAATTGACAACTGTAAGTTGCACTTTTACGATAAAGAGATTTCAATACATCTCATACAAGTACTGTAGTGCAAAGTACTATTTCTTTAATCTTTTTTACAGTACAAATATTTGAAATAATCTAAAACTGAGCATTACATTTTGTATTGTTTGTTTTAACCTCATGATTTATTGTGATTTTTTAAAAATCGTTGACATCCCTAAAAAGACCACTTTTGTCCAAAAAATTCTCTTTGCTATTGTTTCTTGGAATACCAAAATTTATTATAACAAAAGTTACAGAAAAATTTCTTTCCCACCTTCACCAGTTTACTTTGCTTAGAAAAATGCATCTGTAGACACAAAAATTGGCAGGAAAACTTAAAGGTGGGTGTAGTACATTCATCGACTTTAAACAGAGTTTTTAAAATTTAGGCCATTTCTAGGTTGATCATGGCCATCCAAATATCATAGCAAAATCAAATAAAGACAGATCGTTGCAGTTAATCTTCGGTGTAATGCCTCTGATTTTCACAGATTCAAACTCTGAATCCAACCCTCATCACCTCCCCCCCCCCAAAAAAAACACCCCTCCTTGCCCCCAGTAGCAACCCCTGCCTCCCCAACACACACAAATCCTAATAGGTAATGAACCCTCTGAAATAGGAAGTGCAGAGCTTGGCAGGAGCTCTGTACCCCCATCAACATAGCTTCCGCTTCTCGCCGAAGTGGAGTAATTATGCCAATGGGAGAGCACTCTTCTGTCAGCATAGTGCATCCTCACAAGACGCAATACAGCTGCGCTGATATAGTGCAGACCTGCCCTTAGTTTTCAACTTTTTTGTTTAAATCAGTTGTACTCATGAGCAATCTTAGAATAAAATAGGAGTTTTATAAAATACAGACACACAATTTAAAAACGTGGATGATTCCAATGTGTATTTTTAATGCTAATACAATATCAAATACAATCATAATTTGTAACTTAATGAGAACTCTTACCAACATCTTTTAGGTTCCAAAATGTAAAACTGGCTGCAAAAAAAACCCCTGCTACAATGTATAATTAATTAATTCCTAACAAACTACAACACAAGAGATAATCTTAAAAAAAAAATAACTCATTTACTTTCTTTCTTAAAACATTCATTAAAAATAGTAATCATACTTAAAACATATGAATAAGAAGGGTTAAAGCAAGTAGACACCCTGAGTTTATTTTTTTATCTTGTGGAATACTAGGTACTAGATTACACTTCATTTGTGGCTGAGCTGTTTTATTGGTCTGCTTCTAATATAGAGCCTGCTTATTTGGCAGTTTCTCAAGTTACTCCCCTCAGGCAGCTTGAGCCAGTAAAACTAGATCCTTTCATCTCTGTGGAGCTTACTGACAACCAGCCGTCTGGTTTCCTAGGAAACAAAACCTTGGCTAGAAATAGTGAATCATTTCCAGGTCACTTTCAACATGGAGAGTGGAGCAGGAAAGCATTGGACTGAAGAGGAGGTTAAAGCCTTGCTAAGCGTCTGGTCAGAAAAAAACATAAGAAAACAACTTCATGGAACACTAAGGAATAAAGGAATATTTATCTACATTGCTAAAAGACTACAGGAGTTAGGAGTTTGCAGAGACTGGAAACAGTGCCGTGCAAAGTATAAAAATCTGAAGTATGAATTCAGAACAGTTAAATATGCCCACAACTCTGGAGATGCCACTAAAACCATGAAGTTTTTTCATGATCTGGATGCTATACTGCAATATGAACCAGTCACACAATTAACAGAGGACGAAAACGGCAGGTGCTCTGCAACTGAGAGACAGCTGAACATAAGCACTACCACAGAGAACACTGAAGGTAAAAATTAATTTCTTTTCTATTTCTTGTCTTTGCACAAAAAAACAATAAATCTGTTAAGATTAAAAACCACATTATATGGCCCTAGTAACAGACTTAGAACAGCAACTGACTTGATACATCCCTTGCAGATGGAGAAAAATAAAGGTTAGCACCACCAGTGTTGAAGTCTGTAAATACAGCATAACCCTAACAAATTACAGTAACTGCTGGAAAGGTCCAGTCCCACAGAGGCTCTGTACCTTGTGCAACTGGGTCCTACTATTCATCTAAAAAAATTTCTTTGGAATATATTTGTAATACTTTGCAACAGGTTTTTAGAGCTTTAGTTCAGAAAGAAAATTAATTATTCTAGAATATACTATATTACAAATTTCCCAATTATAATTTTTTTGTTTTTTTTAAATGAATAATTATTGTCAGGTCTGAAGTCAAAGATGTTTAATTCTAGAATATTTTTATTACTATTTTAAAGAAGAATATTTAAATGGAATATTAATTGTGAAGTATGTTAATACAATGAAATGGAAATGCATGGCTTACAAAATTATATTACATTATTAGTGTATTTATTAGTCATGCAACATTTGTTATGTTTAAAGTGATATAAACAGAGACCATCCTGAAGCAAGACAGAAATAATTAAAAAGACATTTTTAAATATGAAGAAATGGTGGTATTTACCAAACCAGTTGCACATCAGGTTCTGTTAAAGCCCCTCAGCGTGCATGTGAGCCTCATTAGCATTACACTGGGATTTACTATGTCACAGGGAGAGGTGGAAGAGACAAGACAATTAGAGATAGGCTGAGGAGACACTGTTTTGATCACAATTAGAATTAGGTGAGGGTTCAGGTTTGAGGCTAGATCAGGGCTGCAGTTGGTGATCTCACAGTACCAGAAGCCCCTGCGATGCTGTTACAAGATTTCAATCACATCCCAACTGGCAACAAGAAAAAGCCCCCCCGGTATTCATTATTATCTACAGCAGTACCAGAATCATGGGGGTGGGGGAGGGAGAGAACAGATCAGAGATTCAAATCAGAACCCAATTTGCTCCCACAATGTGAAGAGGTTTGGATTAAGTTACAATTATGAATCATTTTTACAAAACAAAATCGATTAAGTACAGGGGAGATTTTCAAAGGCACAAAGGGGAGTTGGATGCCTAACTCTCCTTTGTACAACTCCCTCTACAATGCAAGTGGACAGCTCTTACCGTTGGGAAAGTGTGATTTTTCCATGTTTTAAGAAAAGAATCAAATTATTAGTTTTTAATCGTAAAGAAATTTTAAAAATTAATATAAATGTAGTTCTATAACACGTCAGCCATTTGAAGCTATTTAGTTAAAATAATTATTAACATGTATTGTGCATTGTACATTACTGCTACCTTCCATTTTTAGACTGTATTTTAAATAATGCACAGAAGTTCAGGGGGCAGCTCTTGAGCTGGTATAAATTGCTATAGCTCTTTTGACTTCAGTGGAGCTATGACCATTTACACCAGCTGAGGATTCACCCCTGAACTCTAGATTATCCTGCATGTTTTAAATTGGTTTGCCCAAATGGTTCATTTTAACTTTGCTTCCTTTGAACCTTAAATCACTATGGGGCATTTTCAATTAATGTTTCACATCTCTTATCCTGAATATCTTTAAGATAACTTCAGAAAGGACCCAACAATTAGCCAGCCTTTCTGATGAACCCCAATCCAGGGTATTAATTAAAAAAATTGTATCCTTGGTGGAATGTACTGCATTTTGGGGCATGTGAAAAATCTGATTTCAAAAGTATGATGTAATAGTGGTACATTCAAATGCCTATAAAGAAAAGGAAATAAGGGAAGCGTTTGTGCTTTTAGTTTTAATTCTTCTTTATAAAACACAAAAATTAAATAGTCAATGGCAATAATGTAATATGAATAGTTCAGAGTTGAAATGCAAAACTTCACACAACCATAACACAGCCAAAACACACACATTAAAACATAAACGTAACCATCACACACCTCCTTTGGAATCAGAAGTACATAATCAGGCAGCAGCAGATACACACAAAAAGCAAATACAGTACAGTTCTGTGTTAACATAAACTACTAATAAAAATAAAGGGAAAGTTTAAAAAAAAGATTTGACAAGGCAAGAAAACTGTTTCTGTGCTTGTTTTGTTTAAATGAAGATGGTTAAAAGCAGCATTTTTCTTCTGCATATAAATTTTCAAAGCTGTATTAAGTCAATGTTCAGTTGTAAACTTTGGAAAGAACAACCATAACATTTTTTTCAGAGTTACAAACCACCTCCAATCCAGAGTTGTTCATAAATTGGAGGTTCTACTGTACCTAACAGGATGTTACAAGGAGGCGGGGGGGGGGGGGAAAACTCTCCTTAACCTCCAAGGATAAGACAAGAAGCAATGGGCTTAAAATTGCAGCAAGGGAAGTTTAGGTTGGACATTAGGAAATCCTCCTACCTGTCAGGGTAGTTAAGCACTGGTACAAATTAGGGTTGGAAGAGACCACAGGAGGTCATCTAGTCCAACCCCCTGCTCAAAGCAGCACCAACACCAACGAAATCATCCCAACCAGGGCTTTGTCAAGCCTAACCTTAAAAACCTCTAAGGGTGGAGATTCCACCACCTCCCTAGGTAACCCATTCCAGCACTTCACCACCCTCCTATTGAAATAGTGTTTCCTAATATCCAACCAAAACCTCCCCCACTGCAATTTGAGACCATTGCTCCTTGTTCTGTCATCTGCCACCACTGAGAACAGCCGAGCTCTATCCTTTTTGGAACCCCCCTCAGGTAGTTGAAGGCTGTTATCAAAACCCCACCTCACTCTTTTCTTCTCTTCTGCAGACTAAACAAGCCCAGTTCCCTCAGCCTCTCCTTGTAAGTCATGTGCTCCAGCCCCCGATCATTTTCGTTGTCCTCCGCTGGACTCTCTCCAATTTGTCCACATCCTTTCTGTAGTGGGGGGCCCAAAACTGGATGCAATACTCCAGATATGGCCTCACCAGTGCCAAATAGAGGGGAATAATCACTTCCCTCGATTTGCTGGCATTGCTCCTACTAATGCAGCCCAATATGCCGTTAGCCTTCTTGGCAACAAGGGCACACTGCTGACTCATATCCAACTTCTCATCCACTCTAATCCCCAGGTCCTTTTCTGCAGAACTGCTGCTTAGCCAGTCAGTCCCCAGTCTGTAGCAGAGCACAGGATTCTTCCATCCTAAATGCAGGACTCTGCACTTTTCCCTGTTGAACCTCAGATTTCTTTTGGCCCAATCCTCCAATTTGTCTAGGTCACTCTAGACCCTATCCCTACCCTCCAGCATATCTACCTCTCCACCCATTTTAGTGTCATCTGTGACCTTGCTGAGGATGCAATCCATCCCATCATCCAGATTATTAATAAAGATGTTAAACAAAACCAGCCCCAGGACCAAGCCCTGGGGCACACTGCTTGATACTGGCTGCCAACTAGACATCAAGCCATTAATCACTACCCGTTGAGCCCTACAATCTAACCAGCTTTGTATCCACTTTATAATCCATGCATCCAATTCATACTTTTTTAAAATTTGCTGGCAAGAATACTGTGGGAGACCGTATCAAAAGTTTTGCTAAAGTCAAGATATATCACATCCACTGCTTTCCCCATATCCACAGAGCCAGTTATCTCATCATAGAAGGCAATCAGGTTGGTCAGGCATGACTTGCCCTTGGTGAATCCATGTTGAATGTTCCTGATCACCTTCCTCTCCAAGTGCTTCAAAATGATTTCCTTGAGGACCGGTTCCATGATTTTTCCAGGGACGGAGGTGAGGCTGTAGTTCCCTGGGTTCTCTTTCTTCTTTA